CTAATCACAAGATCTTTATTGCTGGGGATTCGAGAGAAGAAAAAAAAAAATAATACAAAGATCAACCTAAGATGACACTGAACACATGCTGGCATTTAACCTGAAAGTTGATTACTGAAAAAAGAAAAAAAAAAATCAAGATCTGAAAAGACCATTATTTTAAAAGCTTTTTTTTTTTTTCCAGGGCACAAATGTTATTAAGTTAAAAATTCACATAGCGAAATATACTTTCGACTTGGCAAACGTGACTATTTCTGTTCCACATAATATTGAAAATCAAGTTAAATCCATAGTTCCAGCTTAGCTTCACTTCTTGATATTTTGGCCAAAACAACCCTGGAACAAGGTGACTCGCCACTCAACCCAAGTGCCCTCATCTCTACAAATACAGAGTACTAACAGTCTCCAGAACGGGCATGTCGTCCTCTTGAGTTTTAGAACGGTTGCTGCAATGTTGGTTCCAACAACTGCTTGGATTTATCTTCAGGACTCTGTAAGGCACACAAGGACCCTGGCAGAACAGTTATTTTCATTACAATGTATATAAAATTTAATTTACAGGCTCTTGTTTTAAAGGTTTAGATATGTGCTAATAGAAATGCTTTTGGCTATGCAGTTTAAAAACAACTTCCTTTTCAAATCTGCATTCACACCGTTCTACAGGTATGCAAGCAACCGAGAAAGGCCATCTTATCTTCAGTTACAAGTGCTGCACTTGAAAAGATGAAACAGGAAAGATGCGTCTTGGTTTAAAGTCCTATAGGTTTAAAAATAAATACAGTTCTCTTAAATGTATTCCTAAAGTGAAGGACTAGCTTCTACCCATAATCTTCTAAGAAATTAGAAGAAGATTATGGGTATCTGCTTGTAACTGTACCCTCTTTCTTACAGGAACATATCGGTAACCAAAGATACAACAGGATAAAGGGGTTTTCAACTGCATTTATAAAGAATGAAGTTTAAATCCAAAAAGCTCATGCCTGCATGCTACTTTCAGACAAAAAGAGTGAACTTTCCAAAAAAAAAAAAAAAAAAAAAAGTCTGTAAACTGATCCTGCCCCAGAACTGCTAATGATTTTCTTAGACATTTATGCCCACCAGTAAAAATGAACACATTTTAAGAAGCACTTAAATCTCCAGAGGATTATCTGCTATAAGCTATAAGATAATTGCTGATAACATAGTTACACCATAGTCAAGATAATTTTCACTACAAGGCAGAAGAGGAGGTTCCATTCAGTATCAACATGCAGCTTTCTACCTCCAGCTATCAGAGTAGCTCAACCCCAGCCCTTCAAAAAATAAAACAAAACAAAAAAACCAACCACAAAGCCCAAATACTTGCATTATTTTTCTCTCTTCTCCCCTCCTGAAATATAGCTGAACCACTACTATATATGGTCTCCTAAAAGTTTACATGTGGGCACAAAGCAAGCCAGGTAATCATAATCATCTGAAAACTGGAGTCTGAATACGCATGCTTGTGAACTTAGCTACAATGGCATGGCGCTGCACCACTACTGAAGCATTCAACTGTTTTCTCAAAGATTCCCAAATATATCTGATTCTTTTTTCATTCCCTGTCTACAAGCTTCCCTCCACTTTCTTCCTTTGCTCCTTCTCTTGAATATCCTGCTTGCTTTCTTCATTTTAATCTGTTTTCCTCTTCTCCCTACATTGTTTGCTCCTCTATATGCTTTCCCCATCCCATTTCACTCATATTCCCAAGCATCCTCATTCCTTTTCTTCCCACAAGCCATTTGCTTCTTCTATGAAAAAAGACGCAATTTCTGTTTTCACTAGCCCCTCTGCCACTCTCACCCAGTTCTAATTTCACCCATTCCTGCTACCTGCAAAGATGAGGTCACGATTTGCCTTATCTTGGCTGCTTAGGAAGAAGGACAAGAAGTTTCCATTGAGAAACAGAGAAGTTTAGGCATCTACCCAAAGAGGTCTATAATGCCCACCCCCTGACAAAAAGTTTCTTGGATGCTGGTGTTCATAACCAGAACAACACAAGTGGAGCTTCTCCCATAACGTCACATGCATTACTTACACAGAAGGGAAACAGCCAGGATGCTCAGAGCAATCAGCGAGCACTTTTAGAAGAAGCAGTTGTATTAGTGTGCAAATCTGTTACTCTGAAACAGGGAACAAGAGAAAGAGTGGCTTGAGGCTGTAAGAAGTACCCACACAGGAGAACCTTGCCAACTCTGACCCCGAGTGGCAGAAAGCCATTTTGTAAAACAGCCAGGGAGGATCCAAATACAGTGGAAAAGCAGTCACAGATAGCAAGTGACAGTGTATGAGAGATGCATTTCATATGAAAAGCGCAGTTTGTTTCTGGTCACAATGCACTTCACATAATCCACCTCATTTTTACAAAGTTCAAAATTTTATAAAATTTAAAGTGACCTCCACATGGTACGTTTACACTGGTAGACCTACAAAGTTAATCTCGATGCTGTGTGGTAAGAGAGGGTGTATTTTTTGGAGGCTGACGGTGTTCATGACCCAGGAAGTGTCTGACAATACAAGACGGATGCAGATGCAGTGGGAGACGCCAGAGAGCTGCAGGGTTTTATTGGAACTACACCCTTCCAAACTGGGAATTAGCAATGCTCTTCTTTAAGTGGGAAGCTGTCTTGCCTGAAAGTTTTCCACTTGTCCACAAATGCAACAAAATACATACAGAAGTGGTATATTACTCTAATTAAGAATATCACGTCTCTTCTCCCCTCCTGAAATCCATCCATTTCCCCCACACAGGAGTAATGGAAGGAGAATATAGCTATTTCCCCTCTAAAACATGGTTATGTTCTGGTAAGTTTTTCTTCCTAAATGCTATCTTACATCTTAAGATAAATGAACTCACGAAATCGGCTTCAAGTTTTCCCATTTCTTGCTTGTAGCTCCTCATTCTGCTACTATACATTCCTCGGCTTTGAGGCGGGATCTCTCGGACTTCAAGCTCCATCTGTTCGAGCTAGCGATTGAAAACAGGAAAGAAACGTGAATGTTTACTTGATGTCTTTAAATGCATTTTGCCAAGGTGAAATTTAAGATATCCACAAACACCAAAAAAACCAAACAAACACACACAAAAAAACCCCCACAAAACTTTTGTCTGCCCCCTTCCCCCCTTTTTTTATAATATAGTGCCAGAGTAGGGAGATGAGTTAGGAGAGAGATGATGCAAAACTAACATGTTTTTAAGGCACTTTGGGGACCCTTGGATTAAAAAAAGAGGCATGGCATGCTACAAATACGAACTAGAATTATTTTTTAGAACTGCCATTGGCTGTTATATTCAATAATATGTACATACTTTGCTACATTTAGCAGACAGAGCTTGCTGCGTCTAAAAGTTGGGTTCCAAAAAGCTACGCTAAAGCACCTTACTGAATTTCAGAGGTGCAGAATTTCACTGAAAACCCAGGACTGCTCAGCACTTCTTAAACAGCAGGTGGCTGCAAGCTCAGAAATCACAGCGAACTAGGTGCTAGTTCTGTCTAGCCACACAGACTCCTTAAGAGAAGGCTCTCAGTTTAAGCATCTTGTTTTGCCATGAAGAATCCTTACCTGAATTTAAAAACACTTCTCAAGTTTACTTTTATAAGATAAAAAGAACTTTTCGCAATGGTTGCTGCAGGCACCCTAGACAATATTTACTTGCTTCCCACTGATCTCAGCTGTAGAAGTATTGCATGGGAATAGAAATGCCTTTCAGTTAGGATCCCAAGCTATTAATTGCAGGTTTCTATGAGATGCAGTTTTTCATTTATACATAAGCTTATTTACACTTTGATATTTCAGCCTCAGACCACAGTAAAGACACCCAATATCCTGATTTACTCGGTGGACTTGGAACACTCGTGGAATGTATTCGGGTAAATAATTGGGCTCCTGCGGGCAAAAGGATCGGGCCTCACACTGCCTGGGGGAGCCGGATCGTGACCTATTCAGAATATAGATGACATTACTTAACAGGAAACTACGCAACACTGTTTCACACAATTGCTTTTTGTTCTTTTTCAAAATGCTTTCCAAAACAAAGCTGGCTTAGTTTAAAGGGCTTGTACTGCACCAATTTATTTCCAATCCATTTGATCTCCATAAATATGGAAAGCTATTGATCTCTTACAAGTACAGAGCCATACTTTCCCTTACTGCCTGCAGTTCCAGAACATGAGAGAATTCTAACTGCTCGTTTTTTAAGTAAAAAATTAAACAGTCTTTCCGAGGAATGTAGAATTTATCATGCAGGCTCAACTCACTGGTCAATGCAGTCCTGTACCTTCACTCCAGCAGCAGTCAATGCCAAATATTCTAAGCTAAATGAAGGGGAAAATACCCACTGTGCATTTAGATATGCACAGTACAAGCACTTGGAGTCTAAGCTCCATGCCATCCAGATAGTTATCATCCTTGCTATCCTGAGGGCAGACAAGCATATTTTTATGCCCAGGCTCGTAAATTTATGATTATCATGCAAAACAGAGCAGCAGAGGTACTACAGCTGAGGAAGCGGATTCTTTTCTATAGCTAATTACCTTTTGCCCCGCTTACATGATTAGAAATAGTAATAGTTATAAAGTCACATTTCTGTGTCACAGGTGAGCAGAGCAAGATGGGAACCTTTTTTTTTTTTTTTGTAAATCGTGGAAAGGAAATTGTGGGGTCAGCAAAGTAACTTGCCCCATTACAGTTTTCTATCCTAATGCAATGGAAACCAAATTTTAAAAAAAATAGATTATATTAAACTAGGAAGTACACTTTCAGTTTAGCAGTCCCAGACTGTGGTTTCCAACCATTTGCAGAGTGACAGTAGTGTGGTCTGCTATGTCCGAATACAAGAACATACCGTAAGCTTAGAGCAGGGGTACCCCATGGCCTGTGGGCCAAATGTGATACCTGGTGTCGTATGATCTGACCCTCAGGGCTCCCCATATATCCATAAAATTTGGCATCAGGGAAGAGGTGCCACCACTCCTCTAATACCAAATTTTTGGACCCACTGGGAGCCCTCCAGGCTGGATAGCATAGCCCTGAATGCTGCATCAGGCACGCAGGGTGGTGCAGGGCCTGAATCTGGCATGTGGGTGTTAACTGGAGCTGTGCGAGCAGTGCCCAATATGGCCTGAGGACTGGCCCCACGTTACTTACCTGGGCTACAAGGCCAGAAATCTAAGCACTACTGATTTAGACAATTTGAAAAAAGCTCTTTAGTTTAAATCCTTTTCAATTTAGTCCATCCTCTAAGAACAAGGGCGAGAAATAACATACACTATTCCACCCTCAAACCATCAGCTCGAAACTGCAGTGTGCAGCATATGCAATAAATAGGGCAAAAGCAGGTTCTGCTGGTTATGGACAGATGTGAAAGTCAAGTCTGCGTACAGCTCACATGGAGCAGAACAATGACCAGGCTTGGCTCCCTAGCTCTCCTCCTCAGTGACTTACTACAAAGAATTTTTTTTTCTCTTCCTTCTCTCAAAACACAGGTGCGACTTATACCCCAGGTTGTGTTATATGTGAGAAAATACGGCAATACCATAGAAAACAAGTCTCTCCATTTCCACCACAAATTTTAACCTATAAGCTGTGGTTATATTTTTAGATTATTACAAAGAGTCTATAAGTGAACAATAAAGGGCACAATTAGTAAAGTGGGCCAATATACCCTTGTTTCTCTCATAGCACTAAGTAGTTCAGTCTCTCTTAAGAAAGAATTTAGCACACACTGAAAAGACACAGAAATAAATAAAAGAATTTCTGGGGAAGAAATTACATGACCCATGGAGGACAGTTACCAAGTTTACAGGTTTAAAAAAAAAAACAACCCACAAACATCAGTATATCTAGTATCAAAACATTCTCCCCCTGAATTTGTCATGATTTTAATACTAGAATCTAATAAGATAACTTATAATAATCAAACATATAAACAAATAGCAGCATACGAAATGTAAGAATGCATTTGGGTGGGGAGGGGGGGTGTTCCATCCACTGGATGGAAGTGCAGATCAGATCAAGTATGTGATCCTGTTGCCCTCTTGTGACTGCAGTTTGCAGGAGGTGGCGCCCCAATATTCAAACAGCCATGAATGTTTCAGACGTAACACCTGAGTGTCAAACAATGTCAAAAAATGCATGAACAATGTTGGGTGCAGGGCGATCTGCTCTTTTTACTTATTTGCAACTGCCTAGATAAAAATTAATGCAATCAAGAATCCTGAATCGCTTCCTCCTCTTACAAGTGATTTTCCCCATGTTGGAGTATGACTAAAAAGGATGTTGGAACCCCCACAGTATAGTTCCACAAAGGCTTTTAGGATTATTGGTGGAAAACTAAAAACAGTCAAATCCGATTGGTATCCCATTAACACCCTTCCAAGTTCTTGTAAGAGAAGATGGGTAATGCAGAGTTCTTCCAGACAGTCATTTCAAAAGAAACCCATTTAGCATCCTCTGTGATGATCCACATCAAATATTTCGTACTCATTAAACGGATGAATTCCTGCTCAGGTCCCTCACTATCCTTTTTATTTCGAATTGTCATGATTAGCAGATCATTCCTTTATGACATTTATTCCATAACACAGAAACACGTAGCCAACACAATCCATTTGTTAGGAGAGAAACAAAAGGTTCCCTATGCAAAAAGGTGAAGTCTCTTGTCTGTTACTAAAAGGTTCCAGAAGAGATTCAGAGGCCTATAGCCCAGTCTCCCTTGTATCTGCACTGACATACAAGAAACCCCCAAAATCAAAAACCACCCATTTATGAAAAAAAATCTATTTTCAGCATTCTATATAACGTCTGTGAACTGCAATATTTAAAAGACTCTAAAGACCCATTGTGAAAATGCTACATATTTTAAACAGGATGCGTCTATAACCAAAGTCTAAAAACCATCCATCCAACAAACACTTAGAGACTTTACTCTGGCAGAGTCAAAGATGTGCCCTTTGTGAAATCACCCATCGTGTCCCCCACTTTTTTTCCCCCTCCAGGACCAAAATCCACAGGACTCCTACACACATCCTGCGTTTGCGTTTCAGAAAGGCAACTTGCGCTTAGATATTAGGACACTTACTTGTCAAAAATCTGACAGCTTTTCTCTCTCTGAAAGCACGTACACCACCCAAATAGCATTCGGATATTACTACAGAGGAGATGCTAGGATCAGAACATTTTTCTTGAGGTCTAATTCTTCATAGGACCATCTAAAAGGCTGAAAGATGTTATATATCCAAAAAACAATTCATTCAGCCAACTGACATTAGGCATCATAACTAACTCATCTGTGTGCTGCCAATCAAACCTACTACCATAGAAGAAACAAGATGAAGTGAATTAAATGGGGAAGTGTGACGGTGCCTCAAACCTAGACTACAACTGAGCAAGTCTGTGCATCAAAACTAAAAATGATAGTGATTTAGAACAAGGGTTTCTTTTGTTTCTTATTACTGCCCTTAGTTTAAAAGGAGACCCTTTTAGTCAGTTCTGTTAGTAGTGGTTTTTATTCAAATTACTTTTTTAAACCTAAGCCTTGACATTAATCACTAACTTGTTAGATAATTGCTTAAAACCAGTAATTGTGTTAAGCACCTGTCTAGTAGCATTAGCAACGAGATCTAAAACCCAAAAGCATAAAAGAAAATGGAAATACATGAAATGAAGATCATCATCATTAGGGTGAAAATGTTCAAGCAGGACTCTCTTTTTAATCTTAAGAAAGGTCATCCAAATTTGTATTTATGATGACATAAGAAGAAAAATAATGAGCCGTTAAGTCAATTCCTGCTCATTCCAGCCCTCCCAATAATAGAGAATTACTTTGAACACAAAGCCAGTATTTGACACATTTCTCAATAAGAAACACGTAATGTTTCCCTGCATCACTGAATGCCTTCTTTGTCAAGTGGCAGCAGTGAAGGGAAGAAAGAATGTCAGTCTACATCCTCACACTGCTCCAACAGTTAGAGTATCAAAGCATCTTCCAATCATTAATTTATCTTCAGAACACCCTTGTGAGGCAGGGGAATAATAATCTCCCTATTTCAAAATGAGGATGCCAGGAGAGATTAGGAAGCTTGAAGATGGTCACACAGAAAGCCTGGAGCAAAGAACTCAAGTTTCCTGGCTCCCAGTTTGGTGCCCTTATTCACAACCAGCCGATACAAGCAGACGGCATGGGAGTGTTTGACACTTATCTTATGCTGGCTGCAGGGCAGCAGCAACAGCTTGACTCCACTGCGGTGGTGTAGCTCTCCTGGCAACGCTTTGCTAAGCTTAGGAGTCAGAATCCACTGCAATGTTCATTGCATGGGAACATCCAACTTCAACAGGAACTATGCTTTGCCTCTCGTTCTCTCCTCGGCCACAGGTTCAATTCCTATTGAACTATCGCATGGCTCCTTAAACCACGGTTCCTTCAAACCAACAGGAACCAGAAAAAGCTGATGCTCTCAGAATTTGTAAACACACACGTGCTTATATTTAATCATTCAGTAAGGTTCTTCCACAGAATAATAGGATTCAACAGAGAAGTTTAGCAAGCATACTGGGGAAAATGAGAAAGGAGGGAAATGGCTCAATCAGCAAGGAGCTGCTCTGACTTTGCACTAGCTCAAGAATTTTTAGTATAAAGGACCAAATTCTGCAACTGAATGAAAGCACTGGCCTTCCACGGAGATCAGCAAGAACCACACTACAGAACGACACTGCATGTAATCAGCCGAACCTAGTGATTACCAGCATAATGCATGTGCAATAAGAGACACGTACATCTGTTGATATGTCTTGTGCCTCCCACGCAAAGTCCACAAATGAAAGTTATCTCCTCATGCTACAGGAGAAAGTTTCAGGGCTTGAAGGCTGAGATCCCATTCCACACTTTGATCTCAGTTTAGCAACTACAAGAAGAAAAATTTGTACCCTGGCACCTTCCATCCACAGATCTCAGAATGTAGTTCCAAAAGGTATTTTCTAAATCCACACTAATGAAGTAGAAAGTTCCCCATCTTGCATAATTTCTTGAAGGGAAAATATGACAGGCTACTTGTTTGAATGCACATATCTGAAATCCTGTGCATATTCCAAATACATATGGATATATGCTGCCTTTTTAACTTCATACTGTAGCTTTTGTGCATTTCATTCTTACTCTTAAATGCTCTGTCATCATAAGAAATATGGCTGTTGAAAATAAGTAGTAAAAAGGTAAAAATGCTGGTTGAACAGTGGGATCTCTTTGCTTTGAAAAATGTTCTTCCAGGATCAGCATCAAGCGCTACTACCCAGCCTGTGTGTGACTGCAGGCAACTCATTTTACAACTATATGCCTTAGTTTCCACAGCTTTTATATGGTAGAGGATACTTATATTCCACAAGGGTATTCAGTAACTTAATTTAATTATGGCTTGTGGAGCAATGCCAGATCTTCCACAGAAATAGTACTAAAATTGTGCAAGGATTGTTTCTAGGTTTCTGCAGAAAGAATGATAAAAATACACCTCAAAGCCTGTTGCAGTCTGCTGCAAAGCTACTGGTCTTATGATCAGAAAGTTCGATAAATATGTCCTGCTTGTGTTCCATAAACTATAAGATCTGCATGGCTCTTTGCAAGGCATTACTGAATATATGTTAAATTGTTCATTAATGGTACTTCCATTTACCTCTTCTAGAGGAATTTGCATAAAATACAGGGGAAATTCTTTGACATACCAGCTCTCTTGCTTCTTCCAGCTGTTTCTCCACATTTGCAATCAGCTGCTTCTTCTCATCTAAAACAGAAGAATGAAAATAACTAATTTTGCACTTGCCTCTAAAGAAAGAGAAGTCAGTTACACCATTTTCAAACAAAACGCGTATTTGTTAGTTCTGAATTTCAGATAAGGAACTGGTTTTGTATGAAAATTAGCACAAGCTACGACACCCACAATATCTATTCCTTAAAAATCTGAGATGGCAAGTTATTCAGATGGCTCCATCTCATGAGCAGAGGTTGTGAGAGGCAGACATTTACAGTTGTTATCAATGCCATCTTTCGCTTCACCAGAACGTGTGTAGAGACATGGAAAGGCACACATTTATGTCAAATGAGAAAAGTCACTGGACATAACCTAAGCTTTTGGAAAAACAAGTGCATGACCATATGTGCTACAAGCTACAGAGCTCTCTTTCATGTACTTATACATCCCTGAGCCAGAACTAGAGTCCAGGTCCTTCAAGAAAAGGATAAAGAGCTTGTGCTGCAGGAGCTAAGGAAGGGATTCCTCTTACTGGCAGTACAGTACTAATAAATCCATTATTCTGCAAGAGGGTCAGCCACTACACAGCAACATGAAGTGCAACTTCACGTAGTATGTTTGATGTTCTCGCTTTATGACTGTACAACATAAAAATAAAGTTGGTGAGCTATGGAATGGACAGACAAATAAAGATAAAGCACATGCACTGATTCAGTTGCATTGTAGGCAAAAAAACCCCCATAAAGAATACACCAGGTAAAGGTACTTAGATGTGGCATTTTGGTTGCCTTCATCTAAAGGTACTTAGGACTACAGGTTACAGAGGGCCCACCAACAGGAGAGCCGACATGATCGGGTTCACTGGCCAGAACCGTGGGGCTCAGTTAGCACAGAGAAAGCAGTTGAGGTTTGTTTTGTTTTTTTAAATTGAGACAAAGATGGTGGTAGGACAGCAGAAGTGTGTCAAAGAAACACATTGGTAGCTCACAAACAGTCCACACTGTCATCACATGCATGGCCTATACGCCTATTTATATAGAAACAGCAAATGATGGCAAAAGACATCAGACTGACTGGGGATGCCCCTACTTAATAAATTATGGAAGTCAAGACAAGTTAACGATGAGACAAAAATCCATAAGCACTACATTACAGCCACAGTTATAGCTTCTTGTTAGCAGGTGGCTTTCATCAAATAGCTTACTGTAGAATTTAAAAAAAATACCATTATCAAATAAAAAGCCTGACCACTGAAAAGTTTTAGAGTTAGTTTGGTAAGACCCTTAAACCTTTATCACTAATTTAGGAGAGTATACAGTACTTATTTCCCCCAAGATTATCTTAATTTGAAGCAGAAGTTGCAATTTTATAGCATCAGGCAACAAGCAGAGGAACAGAGTGACCTGCTGACATAATTTCAGTGGTTTAAACTGGCAGAATAGAATACAGTCATTTTAAAATTATCATTTGAAATCTGGGAAATTAAAAAAAAAAAAAAAAAAAAAAAAAAAAAAAAAAAAAAAAAAAAAAAAAAAAAAAAAAAAAAAAAAATTTTTCAAAAAA